GGAGTTATATGGTCAGACATGGAGTGTTTCTGGTGTTTCTCGAGAAATGTTGACCCGATAGCCTTGTCCTGAAACTGTAATTCCGCGGACCCTTTGCATTGCAGACACAAATGCAATAAGGGCTATTGTTTATAGCAAGACTTACTTCAAACGGATAATCTTAGTTGCTTATACCTTGTTTCCCTATAGACTTTCACCTTGTGAAATTTACTGAGGATGGAATTAAGTGCCTGTTCGGTAGAGGTAAAGTTGAGATTGCCAGTGACGATGTTGAGGCAGGCTCCTTGTGTGACACATTCTGAGAGGATGCAAATAGCAAAGGGCTGGTTCCCAGCAATAATTCTCACTTTTGGTGGTAGGTAAACTGACTGACCTCTCATTCTTTCTTTTTTATCTCAATAATTTCAATTCCTTAAATGGTCTTTCGCCTCTATTTTATGTTTCAAAGGTAAAGAGTGTTTGACAAAACTAATATGAATTACTTTCTTCTTTGCTAGTAACTAAACCATCATGATATTTTTTTTAATAAAGTGACAGTCTTTTGCAGAATTGATTACTTCTTCCCTTGCTAACCAAGCTTACACTGTCACTTTGGACTGTGTCTTTCATCATTTTGATTGATTGATTCTAATTAGGGAAGGGGGCTATTCTAAGTGGTGATCTCAATCTCTGGCAATCTAGGTACAGCGTGCATGGTCAAACAAACTACTGTACTCTCCTTGGTTGAAATTTTTGTTACGATTTAGATTATGAAACTCTATGTTACCAACATAATCCACTGTGTAGGGCTGTTTGTTGGTAATCCACATTTTCAATCATTTGAGAACTAACTTGGAACATTTGTCTTTTCACTCCTTCCTAGGTTTTGTTCTGGATGAGAAAAATTATAGAAAGCAGGCTGCCACAGTTGTAAATAAAACCCTGCAAGATAAGTGCTGTGGAGCTTGTAGAGGAGTATTAAAAAAAAAAAAAACAAAAACAGCTAGAACTTTATCACAATTTTATGATTACTCCTGTCTTTTTAAATGATTTTTTAAGTTTTATATGTTCTTGTTGATTAGAAGAGAAATGAAAATTGCATACATGCTTAATAATTTATATCAATAAACTATGTCAAATAGATAACAATGCAATGTCTTCTTCACTTGTTCTTAATTAATGAACTACACCCTACGCCCCCCCTTGATAGTCTCCCCTATGGCCACAATAGGGATCTACAGATAGCTAACATATCTGTAGTAGCAGATATTTCCACAGATATGTATGTACTGTCGATTTTTAATATCTGTCACAGTTTGAAATTTTGGGCCAAATTCCCATATGTTACAAATATGTTACAGATAGGTCAGGCAGATATTTCAAAGATATAATGCAGACCCGAGGAACATATCTGCAGCCTATCTGTCCATTTGGTGAGGGTTGTGGTTAATATCAAAATTGCAAACCATCTTTGTTTCCCTTATCCTTCTTTGTTCATGTCCTTTCTTGCTTCTTAATTAACTAATATTTTGTTAACTAATATTTTGTATTCTCCTTAAAAAGATGGCGATAGTTTTATACACATAAAATATTTTGAACTTCTTTCACTTTGATCAGTAAATGATCAAGACATTCACATTGCACAAAATATTGATAATTCCTTTTTTCTGATGACTCCAATATCATAGTAGTCATCAGTAATTTTAGGATTTCAGGTCACCATAAGGTAACTTTGAAAAGAGAATTGAGCTTGGGAACCCTAAAATCTCAACATGAAAATTCTGGTTCCTTCTAACCTCTAACTATTCCACATCACCTATTTTATATTTCTTGCCCCATGCATCTAAGCAGCAAAACAAGGCTAACTGAACAATTCACCAGCCCTATGCTAGGCTCTAATCTCTTAACCCTTTAACTCCTACAAGTGATTAAAATGTAACTTCTCTCAATAATTTCCATACATCATCCAGCAAACTTGTTAGTGATTTACTAGGAAATGTGGAGCAGCTAGAGGGAGAATCAATCAGATATTTGGAGTAAAAATACTTAGTTAAAATTACTCAACCATCTTGCTCATTACAGCTATAAAATAACAATATGAAGATGAGGGATCGTTACATTTTCTATTACCACAGTCCCTGTAAATTCTCAGAAACAGGAAAGTATGTCAAATTAAGAATCACTTGAAGAAAAAATTACAGCTTCAGTTTAAGAGATACTCTTAAGTGTTGTCTGTTAAATTTTATGATAGCGCAGATTTTCACTGATGTTGACTCGTTGTGATTTTAATTTAAATATTGAATGATTTCTTGAACAGTAATTTTAATCAACATGTGACATTTACAGATGTCCCTTACAAGTCCGAAATACGACTGAGCGGCATCATAACGAAATTGAACAAGTTTGACACACTACTATGATGCAGTTTTCCGGCATTTCGCTAATCTCAAATTTCGTTGAGTCAATTTTGTACAAACGCTATAACAAGTCTAGTCCGCTTGTTCAAAACTACGCGAGATCCATGCAAAAATTAACACGTAATTAATTCCTTCCAACAAATTTACGGAAAAGACATCCTAAAAATCACAAAAGTAAGCTCAGTCAATGAAACTGTCCTTCGTAGCAACCAAGATCAATCGGTTTATCGAGATTAATTTCGTAAGATGTCGTAAGATAAGCCATGCGGATTTTTTCGCGATAGTGTTCTTACGCGTAATTTGTACTCTGAAATGGACAATGCAACTTTCAGCTTGCAAAATATTTACTTCGGACAACTCTTTACGAGCGCGAAGTGTTCAAAACTAATAATTATTTTAATCAACAATGCACCATATTGACGCTGCCCCCAGCGACAAATGTACAAGAACGCTACCGATCCATTCGAAATGGCGAATCGTCGCCAACATGACAATTCAAAAGCTTGTTTATAGCACAACACAGCTATATAACAAACCTCAGTGAGCATAATGAAAGTTAGAAGCACTGAAAAGGGCGAATTTAATCGAGAACAACCGTTTCAACGGATCTAAAATCCTGAAACATTTGTCAAAGGAACTATTTGTCTACCGTAAGCGACACTCGATGGCAAGCTCAGTGCAATTACCAGAGGATTCTAACAACGCAAAATGCCCATTGATGGCTTCAAAAACAACCTCTTTACCTTCATATCGCTCAGCTTGTTCGGCTAGTTTGGCCTTAAACACATTACTCTCTTTCTCTGCCATTTTATCGCTGTAAAAGAGCGAAGATTTTCACACAAGTGCGGATTGCCGGTATTCTTGCTCAACCAAGGGCGTAGACCGAACTAGAGACCAGGCCCTTCGTCTGCCTTCTTACTCTCCCACCTGCGTGACGTTCCGGAAATGAAAGAGTATAAGAAATCCTTCCTGTTCAGTTTTTCTGAGAAACGGCCACTTGTTACTTTTTAAAATTTAATAACATACAGCATTATTTCATTCTTCTTCATATCAAAATGTCATTGACATGTAATGATGTTGTATGAGCAATGAATATTTCATTGTTGAAAAGTTTGATCTACACCTGCTAAATCGCTATTTTTTTCTCTGCAATTATTTAGAAATCAAAGGGACTTGATATTATTTATCGCCCGAATAGAGGGGGTGGGGGTGGGGTGGACGATTTTATGATTTCGCATGGTTTTCAGAGGGAACGGAGTGCGGATCAATCGCCACCAAAGGAGTACTAAGGAGGGAATATAATAAACTGCCAATGTGAGGGGAACTAAGAATATTACAGAGGCTCAGGCAAACCCCCCCCCCCACCCTGTGATAAATGTTCCTAACTCACTTAGCCAGACAATTCTTGTATTAATGCACCGGTTTGCCCAGTTAGTAATAGCTGGCGATAAGCACCCAAAGAAAATTTTTCTCCCAAATATTGTTCAAAGAAGAGAGCCTACCTCCAAACTTGTACCGTGCGCCCTCCATATTTGAACTCCTTGCAACGGATTTGTTTTTTGTAGATTTTGAGTATTCGTGGTACGCCCCCAATAGCCAGGACAAGGTAAGTTACTCATGAAAGGGTGTATAACTGTAGGAGAGTATTCGCCCGATAGGGATTCTTCTTTCAGGCTTCAGTTTGTAAAAAATGCACGGATATTATACACGGACATTATTCCACGATGACTGTTTTCCGAGAGCGAAACTCGGGGAAATCTGTGAGCTTCGAGGGACAGACTAATGTCCAAGGAAAATATAGGAGTATATTTCCGCGCCAAATTGAGGCTAAAATATTTTTCAACGCGCGGGAACGATGTTTACAAACAGCTAACCGTTTACGGCGTGGGATGTTCACTTTTCAGTGTTATCTGCCACGATTTTAAGAAAAAAAAAATTTCATTCTTCTGTAGCAACCACACCGTGTTTCTCATCTTGAATTAAATGTTTGGACGTAATGTTGAAAATTTGGGAATATCTTTTATCTTTAAGAGTATGTTTAGCAAATGAACCCCTTCGGGCGGCTGGTATATATGTCGGCTGATAATGTCCGCGGCAGGAGATTGTCCGAAAAATAAATATTTGGCCGAGAAGCGAACTTCAAGGACAAATATTAAATTTTGAGGACAATCTCTTAGCCGAGGACATTATCAGCCGACATACCAGCAAGCCAGGACGGGGTTTATTTATTTTATAACCCTTCCAATAATTTTCACATCGCGTAAACACGCGTAAACACAGTCAAAAAAGCCAGGGCATATGGTATTTCGTGGACTGGACTGGACTGGACTNTATTGCTCAAATAGTGCTTTACTGCGAAGGATCGTTCACATATACATTTCGAGCTCTCATCGACAAATTTCTTTAGTGTTTCTCCCGACATGATAGCTAGATCATCTGCCACATTCACATTTTCGCGTGAAACCTAACGTCATTCAGATTTTCTGGTATGTGATTGGTCTGTTCAATAGACCGCGACCAAACCGCAAGGACAATGAGAAAGGAATGTAGTTCGGTTGTCAGCAGCCGTTCTTTTGGGGGAGCGGTGCGTGACATCCAAAAAAAACGGCTGCGAGGGAGACTAGTCTTCGTCCGGCCATTTCATAAACGTGTGCCAGTTAGCCCAGGAGAGTGCAATAGTGCGGCTACAGCTGTTATAAAATCGTCCGTAATACCGCGTTTTGTCTCTCTTCGTCAAATGCTGAAAGTGGGCCAGAACCAGAAACAAATGTTGTCACGCTCCATCTACAAGAATTTGCAGTCAGTGAATTGAAGTGGTCAGACCCTTTTCCGGTCACACTTTCACTGCATCGTAAGTATAATTTTATCGTGTTAGCGGTCGTAACCGTTTCGTAAAGTGAAATAGAATGACACAGCCAGGAGGACACAGCAAATAATCATTTACCTTTTTAAAGGGTTACGATCGCTGACGCGATAAAATTATAGTAGGGGAGAGGGGTCAGTAGGAGCTCTCTCGAAGCAATTACCTGGCAAAAACAAACACATATATCTTACATGTAACAAACTGAACATTTATTTAACCAACGGAAGTAGCTGGGCAACAAACATCTTACCACGGCATTCATAAAGATAATCCAGTTAGAATTTTCCTATAATTTTAGGGTTGTTGTTTGAAGTCCAAATTCTTAAGAAAATTATCCTGGCACTGTACGTGTCTTGTGCTCTGTAAATACACAAAGAAAACATCGCCTTCTGGTATCCGCAAAGCTTGTCATGGCGATCTAAAGACATAGTGCAGTCTACTCCCTTTCGAATCCAGAAAATAAAGAAAATAGTATTATAACTACACCTACTAGCTATTTCAACGCGGCTTCATTTCAAGTAAAAAACGGATAAACGCCTATTTACACCAGGAACAAAAGTATTGGTTCTCTGGTGCCGCTTTGCTTTTCTCACACCTCTAGCTTGAAGCCCTTCCGGGGAAACTTCTTTCATCACAGCGTAAACAACATCATGGGGCACATTTAGCCCGTGAATCTCGCGTACCTTTTGTTGCATGGAACGATAGCCAAGCAGCTGTCCCAGAGCATCCATTTCGCGTGTCAGCTTCTTTCACATCTTCAATATCCAATTCATAATTCGTGAACTCAATGTCAAAGTACTGCAGCCTGCGTGCTAAAGTTCGCTCACTCCATGTATACATTGGGTACTTCGATTCTTATGTCTAAAATCTCACTCACTTTTTTCCAGTTTTGCCGAACGTACTTTGATAAATCATCTTTAAGCGTTTGATCTTGCATCCAGTCGCCTTCCTGATTTGATTTTCCGCCATCTTTGCAGAAAACATCATGACCCAAGTGCATTGTGGGCTATGGTATCGATAGGCCACGAGCGAATTTTTTTTTTTTTTTTTNTCCTTTAGGGGTTAATTTTAAAATTTCCGACGGGCACCCCCGTTTGTTTCAAATGGGAGTCCCCCCGGGCCTTATCCGTGACACTGTACCCCACCGATTGCAATTCGCTCGATGGGAAAGCCATTGCCTAGCTAACACACAACAGCTCAAGGTATGTTTTTCACCTTTTTTACGAAGCAAGTAGCGAACGGAATTGGATTTAACAATTCTTCTTAACGGACTGACGGATTTGGTTATCAAATCGTAGCGGATCGGCGGATTTGCATACCCCTATTCATCCCCCTCTTTTACTTTCCTGGGATCAATGTATTATGTTGTAGTGCAGTGTTCCTATTACGTAATCTGTACTTGCATAACCCGTTTTGTAATTAGCCTTTATTACACGACTCAGGCAGTCAGAGGGCCAATAACTAAAATCAACCAATCAAAATGCTCTATTGCCGGTCAATATTCTCTCAGTATTGCACCGGGCACTGTCCAGAATGGTCCCGAATGATACCGCACTTGTGTCCCTTTGAACTTCAGTCGTATAATAAATCTCTTATTAACCAAGCTTGCTCGGGACCGTACCGGAAGAATACCGCCCTCGGTATATTTTGTATGGACCTCGCTGCGCCCGGTCCGCACTGTCAAGACCTCAGGCCGATTTTCTCCCAGTTCGGCCCTCGCGCTTGGTAATTAAGATATCTTTATCCAATATAGTTTTCTTTCCTTTTTCTGTCACCTTGCACCTTGCGTCCACATATATTTAAGACTTTTGGGTGGTTATGGAGGGAGAGGTTTTTTTAGTTTTGAGCGAAGGGCTTTGGGGACTTGAAAGGAACAGAGACTCGTTCAAGATCAGAGCACATTATCATCTCTGAAAAGTCATTCAGAAAACCGTTCTATTTCACGACAAATAATCCATTTGCCGGGGAACGTATGTGCACAGAGGAGCTGTCAGACAGTAAGCTGACGAAGAAGTGATGATAACTGAATTAAGAAGAAAAGTCCGAACGAAGGTCAAATTACGAGAAGTTGTCTGAGCGAAGAGGGAAGTACACACAGTTGGAAACTGGTGAAACGGGAGGTTGGTTTGTGCAGGGTTAATCTATCAACTCTGGTTTGTGAAACGGAAATTTGGTTTGTCAGTACGTAGTTTGTTGGTGGAGCTTGGGAGAGTTGAGGACAAGTCAAGGCCACGGACGCAAGGCGAACTGAAGAAATCAAATTAGGTTCGCGGCCTAAACACAACGGAATAGCTGGCCTGTACTACCCATTCTAAAAGGTCACTCTACTCACCTACAATCCTTAGATTTTAGAGGTGATTTACCCAAGATTTACGAGAAGGGCACCTTAGCCTGTGCAGCCGGCTACAACAGGGAGGGATTAGGGAAAATTACATTGAAGTACTTCATGCACTGAAAAGGCGCAAAGAGTGATTCTTTAGGTCTGAT